AACTCCGGAAAGACCGTGTCTTCGTCCCTCCTCATTCTTTGCAGAGCATCACCAGGAAGGGGACCACGTGTGGGGCCCCACTACACACGTAGAACCTGGAAGTTCCTTTATTGGGCCAATTCTGGTTGGCCCAGTGAGGGGACCTTGGCCCAGCGCTGGGGGCTATAAATACCCTATGTTCCTAGAGGGTCAGGTATTCTTCTCTTACACATACATACACTCTTCGCCTGCTCATTCCGTCACTCATTTTAGCATCAGAGTTTCTTGCAGGTACCCCCCCCCCCCCATCTCACTCAAATTCTGCCCGAGCTAGTCGTGACGGTCCAAGTCTGATCAGGTAAGATCAAATGTACTAAGATAATTTTGTTTTTCCTAAGAGAAGGTAAACCAAAGTGAGGAAAGACAACCCATCTACGAGAGAGTATATAGCTATCACCATTGGTCTTGCATGGGTTGGGTTCTAGTCTACCATTGATTACATTAATTTCCCATTGGATTTAATACTTGCCTTGATTGCATCAGTCTCCCTCATTAGGGTTTGGTTAAACGAATCATCACCCACTTATGAAACATGGGCATTGGCATGTCCTTAAGCACTAATAGTATGGAAGCTTAGTCAAAGGAGGTAGCCGTGTTCCTATAAGAATATGGGTAACAATAGTTTATGTGCTTCTAAGATATGGGGAAAATAAACACTCCATAGGTCCAAGAACACATGTCCAACATATCTCTATAAATACCCCAACTACGTGGTTGAGGAAACATTCAATTGACCTAAGATTCAGAGAAACAAAGCTTATCACCATTTTGCGTGAGCTTTCTATAGTATAACCAACAATCCTAAAATATCATGCATAACTCTCAAAATATATGGTTATTCTTATTGTACGTTTTAGCAAGTATAATTTGCACATACCGTGGGACCTGATAAAACTAACCTAAGTCATATTCATTAGCATTCACTAGTCATTTTTGTCACCTTTTCCACGAGGATGGTAAAATGATGCTTAGATGTTTCCATCAACACTAGCAAGAGAATCTAGTGTTTCCCACCAATGGTAAAGAATCTAGTTCTTCCTGCTGGAAATATGCCAGGCAGGTTTTGACGATAAGCATTATGCCCACTATTCCTTAAATAGGCTTGAAGAAGGAGCCAAAGTCTAAAATTACCTTCTATAGCAAAGACGTCATTGGCATCTATTTACCCTCATAACAATGATTGCATGGTCATCACAATGTAGTATGATAATTGGGATGTAAAACAAGTGTTAAGTGACTTTGGAAGTTCAGTAAGAATCTTTTTTGGGAGCGCTTTTGAAAGACTTAGGCTTGACCCAAATGACATCTGAGCATTCTGTTGAATACGGTAAAGCGGCAAGAAAAAGTAAGTATTTTTATAGGTTATATCATATCGTCTCCATAGTGATTAGGGATACTTAATTTTCGTTCGAAAATTCCTCGCGTTCTTGAGTTTGGGTTTGAATGGGTTTAAAGTAATTGCGAGAATTAAAAGTTATTAATAGGAAAAGAATTCATTATTTGGAGAAGAGACTTATCAAGCATGCATATAATCCACTCCTCACAAACTTAAACCTATAGACTAGTCATAAGTAACCTACAATACTCATCAATGTCATCACGTATCCACTACACCCACTGTATCATCTTAGAGGCGATCTCTCAACCAACCTTAGGAATACAAAAGTCAACTGTGCTACTCGCGTTGACGATCTCTCAGCATAACACAACCAACACATGGACATTAATCACAGACACCTAAGTGAATAATAGCTCTAAATTTATCTCTAGAATCTAGACACTATTAGATAATCATCCTAGATAAGTATTCGAGCAGAATATGTCTATAGCAACCCAAACCCCAAGCACATAGCAAAAATCTAGGATAATAATCGACAAGAATTTGTAAATCAAGCTTTATACAACGCCATGAGCGATAAATATACATGATTTTAAAGTAAGTACATATACAAAACCCGACAAATGAAGAATACACAAAGAAGAAGAGAAATAAACCACAAATCTCCCCGTTTGTAAGCGCCAATCGATGACCAATCCACCTCGGATCATCCGTATGCAAGCTTCATGTTATTTTCAAAGCTAATCTACCAAAAAATGAGAATGATGAATTTTGGAAACAAAAATCCCAAAATCATCCCTAACAAATGAAATGAAAATGAATTTATAAAACCAGTTCAGGCACGCCTCGCCTGGCGACCAGAAGCCTCGCCCGACGAGCGGCCCAATTATTTCCAATTAGCCCGCGCCATATAGGTAAAAATGGTAAAAATATCTTCCTTCGCCCGACGACAACCTAAAAACTTGCTCAACGCTCAACTGGCGAGCCCAAGACAGAAGTTATTGGAAAAACTCATCACTGCTCTCGCCCCACGCTCGCCCGACGAGCCAAGAGCGACTACCCCTCGCCCTAGCCTCGCCCGACGAGGCTTGACAGACATCAACACTTTCTTTCGCTTCGTGCAAAACCGCAACGACTTTATTTGATCAATCTTGCATCCTTGGAGCCGCCCTTTGGCCTTTTATTCCTCAATGCTCCAAAAATACAAGAATTCTTACAAAATAAATGCAAAACTATCAAACGATAAATTATATACACGAAAACACAATTAAACACAAACTAAACATATTTACGGACAAAGTCATAATTTATTTAATGATATTAACAAAAAACATCAATAAGTGCAACAAAACTTATATACAAAAATAGTTACAATTTTTACTTATCACATTCCAAGGCTTTTTAGTTGGTCTTTCATCCGAACATACGCAAGTGAAAGACCACATAACAACCGAGACGACGCTCAGGTTGGAGGTGGCAAAGACAATCAAGGTGAAATATCTTGTACCTAGATACATAATGACCATCTTCCAACAAATTTAACAATTGTTGCATTTCAGATCTTGGTCCTCTTTTCGCCTTGTACTTTCATTGGTGAACATTATGTACTGGCTTAATATTTGAGACACTTTAGGATATTTTCCTTTTAAAAGTTGTGAGTATGCTTTTGGGTTGAACCATGTTAAATGTCATGTTAAAAACATGTTTCTTCTTTAGAATTCAAACGACATACAATTAGAAGACCAACTAATTTATCAAACAATCCATAATTTTGTATATGAGAAATCACATTAGATATCCATGTATTATTAGATTTGTGGTACCCACGCAACTTAAAAGGATATTCACATTTTCTTGTTCTAGTGTCATTATGTTCAACTTCTGGATAATTCTTTTATACCAGCCATTTCTTTTGCATCTTATTGTAACAAATACATGTCTTATATCAGAACAAAAATCCAACCTCATGATAATATTGTCAAACCCTAATTTGGAAGCCTCCATGAGGACTCATTGAGGCATATCTTCACGTAAAGTAAATTCATGCTTATTGGTGAATTTTGTCTAACTTCAACGTGTATAACACCTTGTTGGGAATATTCTAGATCACCATACATAGATGCAGTAACTTTGTTGACAACATCAGGGTGCACCATACCTACAACCAATAAAAAATAAGTCAATTTCAATCAACATTTAAATAATCTGGAATTCAATTTCCGGACAATCCTTAAAAGATCAGGGTTACATTATTCAAATTGCTTAAGTGTTTAAAAAAAAGAACTATATTATCTCAATGATCATCAATGACAGACATGTACGTTACATATATTTTCAGTCGACTGCGCCTTTTGATGTCAAAATATAATAGGATTGTTATTGCAAACAAAAATCCTGAATAAGAATGCAAGAAAGTTTTGGAAGAGTTTAAGAAAATGTGTTATGATCATGAAGCATGGAGAGTAGCCCACATGCAAGGTATAACAAAATGTTATTTTTCTGCTTGAATTCTTAAAGGATGGAGGAATTAACATGCAACCCCTCAAGAGTGTCTTTTACCATTATACCCTCGTGAATAATCACCAAATTTCAAAAAATATTAGTTTTACTGGAAATTTAGAGGGTGTACCAAAAATTTCGTGAAAATTCTCAAAAAAAATTCAAAAATTTTCAGTATATATCAAAATTTTGTTTTTTCAAAAAAAGCCGAAAATTAAAAAAAAAAACGGTTGTTCTCAAAATTTCTAGGGAAAATACTGAAATTTTTGAAAAAATACCAGATATTTTTTCAGAAAAATAATTTTAATTCCGAAAATTTCAATATATTTAAAATTTTCAGTATACCGGAAATTTCAAATATACTAAAATTTTAGATATTGAATTTTTTAAAAAAAAATATTTATTAAAAATTTTATAAAATCTATCAAAAATTTCATCCGAAAATTATTTGTAACTCATCAGAGATAATTATGAAATAAAAAATTAAGAAAGTGACCTATTTAATTTGAGGGTTGATATGATAATTCCATTAAGAATGTGTCTAAATTTTAATTGCCGAAGGATGTGTAAAAAATTTGTAATTTGGACAAATGTTTACTTATATTTAGTGCGTCAAAAATTTTGATGAAGAACTTTATTATATTGTTGTATTTCCCTAACATTAAGTGTATCCGAATTTCGATCTCCAAACAATAAAAAATTATTTTTGAATCTTCATAGAATTTGAGAATTAGTAAGTGAGCAATGAGCAATCCCTAAGTATTAGCTGTTGGGCTCTTTCTATAAATAAATGGGCCAATCCTTTTGTATTCAACATGTATTGATACACGTGATTTTTACTTGGATATTATATTTCTATTATTCAGATTAATTCCTCCATTATACTTGTAATTATGGTATCACAATAGTTTACAAAGAGTACATTAGAGTTTTCAATAAACTGAATTTATTGTTGAGTTTCACTTTTCGCAACATGTATCTGATTGCTCTTTCCTAACAATTTTGAAGGGGTTGTATTTAGAGACAATACTATAGTCACTTGATCTAGTAAATTTGGCACTAATTTTTATTTATGATCATAGAGTACACACAAAAGTTTACCTTAACCAAAACCTGATGAAACCTAATCTCCATTAATCCTTTCAATAACAGAAATAACACCTTGACCACCAAGTTTTCCATCTCCATTAGCAACCATACCAGTAAATATTTGTTTAGCCAAAGAAGCTCCTGGCAAAACAACAACCTTGTTATCATCACCACCTTCAACATAATTAATTCCCATTCCCAAATCCTTAACCTGATACTCAGCATAACCACCCGGTCTAAAATCTTTCTTTATCATCCTCTCCCCAAACAACTCCAACGCTTTCGAACCCGCCGAACCGCCTCTAATTGCATTCACAAATTGCTCCAAATCAAGCCCGGCTCGTTTCGCAAACACTAAACCTTCGCTAATTCCGATCAAATTCGCCGCGATTGTTATCTGGTTGGCTATTTTGCAGCTCTGCCCAGAGCCTGAGGGACCCATGTAGGTTGCTTTTCCCATGATGTTAAACAAGGGTTGTAGCCATTCAACTACGGAGGCTTCACCAGCGGCAAAGATTGCTAGTTTTCCGTCTCTTGCTCCGATGTCTCCGCCGGAGACAGGAGCGTCTATTGACCAAGCGTTTTTGGTTCTTGCCGCGAGGGAGATTTCTCTGGCGAGATCTGGATGTGAACTGGTGGAGTCGACTGTGACGGTGTTAGGGTTTAAGGATGAAACGACGCCGTTTTTGTCGAGGAGGATGGATCTAACGTCGGAGGGATGGCCGAGCATGGTAAAAACGACGTCGCTCGAGTTTGCGAGATGGGAAGGGGAGTCAGCGAGTTTGGCACCTTGAGATTGAAGGGAGAGAGAGTTTTGGTGGGTTGGGTTGCGAGCGTAGAAAGTGAGAGTGTAACCGGCGGAGATGAGACGGGAGGCCATGGCGCCGCCCATAACTCCGATGCCGATCCATCCGATTCGGGTTTGTGATGGTGTAATCGGGTTTGGGTACTTGCTTTCCATACTCTTCTGCCGCGACGGAGACTTGGAATCTTAAGCTGGTGAGTGAGAGTCTTGGTTAGAATATTCGATTCAAAAATGGCTGCTTCTAACATGGACAAGTGAAACGTGTAGTCTATCATGGACCACAAATTTTAACAACCGTCGGATACATCTCATTTTTTTTAATGTAAATTGTTTTTAAATTGAAAATCAGAAAAATAAAATTGTGTTATCAAATTTTTTTATTATCTACCAAATAAGAAGATGAATTAATATATGCTTCTAAAAATGTTTTTTTAAACCAATTTAATATATGGTTCAAATAGAATTATTAGTTTTATTTTGAAGTTTTTATGGTTTTCATTTATGTCTTGCTTTTCCGAAACACTTATCTGTTGTAACTAATTGTCAATTTTTAATTTCTAAAAACCTAATTATTTTTCTCTGCACAACCATAAAACAAATGTCACTTCAATTCTGTGTCAAGGATTGCTTCTTGCTAAACCATCATCACTTCGATTCTGTTCCCAACTCAAAAACAGCAAAGCATTCTTTTTCTACCTTGCTTCCTGTGCACCCTCTTTTCAATTTATTTCACTTTTCTCTTCCACCTTCTTCTTGTCATCTTTTTACTTTCTCTTTTCTTCTCATCTTCAACTCTTTATTCTCTTTTCTTACTTCTCCTTTCTTTTCTTTTTCTTCTCCAACTATACATCTTTATTTTGCAGATATTTTTTCTTCACCTTTGACTTTTCAGTTTAGATCCAGATCCACAAATATCACGGAAATAATGGTTCTTGATCTACAAAATCAATATGTCTGAACCTGATAGATTTAAAGCTCGAAATGGATACAAAGAGAAAGTTGGTGAAACCAGACATGCAACCGCCTGCCGGAAAAACGTCCACCACGTACAAACCGCCCAGACGTCGCACTCTTCCCTCTGTCCATCCTTTGTGCCGCCGCATCGGTAATTTCAATTTGATTAGGGTTTGTATGATTGAGTTTTAATTTTCAAATGAAAAACTAAAAAAGAAAAGAGTGAGAGAGATTTAGATAAAAGTTAAAGAAGAATTTGAAAGTTGAACAGTTTGTTTCTCGAAAACGAGAAAGAAGAGGAGTGCCTACTTTTAATATATTAAAATAATTATATTAATTAATAAAATAATTTTTTTGGTTGTTTTAAAAATATTTAATGTTGTAACAACTCTTACGACAAATAAAACAAGAATCACATATCCTTATGTAATCTTCACACTTAATAAAATATTAGGTAGTTGATTTGGACTGACCCCACACTTGTCTTATTGTTGGGGAAGCTCGATCCAATATTTTTGTACAAGGCTCAAAGACAAACAGTCTAAGTAGGAGATCGTTGGGCAACTTTCTACGTGTTTATTGGAGAACGTGGCCCATGTATCCCTAAGATTGTCATCATAACTACCATTTGAAAATCACGAGGCCAACACCTATTCGTCTGTGGCAGTTGATCATGGGGAATCCACGTGCTGGACTCCATACACAAATAAGTCCTGACAGACTTCATTATTAGGCTTCATCATGACCCAACAATGGGGACCTTGACCCAGCGCTTGGGGTTATAAATACCCTCTCATTTGAGAGAGTCAACTAATCATTATCTCATACTCATACTCACACTTGTTTCCACTCTCCCTGGAACTTACTTTGGCATCAAAGTATTTTGCAGGTATCCCCCATCTCGCTTTCAACCTCAGCTCGATGTACGACCTTGACGATCACTCTGGTCAGGCATGATCAATGGCACCGCTTGTGGGAAACTAGTTTCCCCGTCTTCATTTACCAAAGACAAAAGCAACTTCAAATTCTTGATTGTCATGGCCGACTCAGCTGCCAAGAACATCTTAAACGCCCATCTTGTCGACCCCAACAACGACGTCGTTGACAACATGGACAACAACAACGAAAACGACGACGACGTGGCCGATCTCATGCAGAATTACAGAGACAGCATGACTGTTGTGACACCCCAAATTTATTCAAGTGTTAAATAATTAGGAATTTAATTATTAAATTAATTAAAGGCTTAATTAATAATATTTTGGATTAAATGGATGAATTAATTATGGAATTAAAAAGGAAGACCGAGGGGTGTAAGATTGAATTAGAGGTGTGTGAAGTAAAAAACTCTACTAAATAATAACTAATTTATTACTATTATTTGACAGATAATAAAAGGAATATAAAAAGAAGGATAAAAAGGAAAAGAAAAAAAGAAGGTTATTTGGAAAAAGTCATTATACGTGAAATTGGAGAAGAGAGGAAAAAGCCAAACGCCGTGAATTCGAAGGATCATCGCGAGGTAAGGGGGTGATTTCATTTAGTTAATATGCCTTATAGGTTTTGGAATCAATAGGATTGATTAAGCCTGTTAGGAATCCCCATTTAGGATCGTTAGGTTTATGAAATTCAAACCCCAATTCCATGAATTTTTATGTTTTGATTCAATTGATATTATGAGGAAATTGTATGATGTTATGGTGTGTTAATCTCATTGGAATCATGCATTATAACTTATTTTGACATTGCTGTGAGTTGGATTCGTATGGGAATGAAAAGGAATGGATTGAGATACATAATGCTGTCAAAAATAGCAGTTTTAGGCTCTGCAGGTCGTGGGAACCGGTTCCTAGTGGGGAGGAACCGGGTTCCACTGTGCGAAGTTATAAAAACTGGCAAAATTGCACGTAGGAACCGGTTCCTGTATAGGTACGAACCGGGTTCCCATACATTTTCCAGAAACGTGATTTTTGAACTTCGCAGGAACCGGTTCCTGCATATGTAGGAACCGGGTTCTGCTGTAACTTTTTAAAAAATATTAAACTTTAAAAATCCGTAACTTTCAAACCGTAATTCCATTTTAGGCGCCGTTTTGGACGTTGTTTCTTAAATTAAATGCTCTATTTTATAAAATGAAAAGATTTCCTAAAACCTGAAATTATTTTGAAAATGAGTCAAATCCCAGAATAAGTGATTATTGGCTAACGCACATGGGTGTGTATGTAGCAGTGAACCTGTGATGGATGGATGTATTAGTATTGTGTGAATGAAAGACATGTTTATGTTGCTAATGATGGTGTGTATGATCGTTGAGATATCATGTTTTTGGTTTTGGTTCAGTTATGATAAATTGATGTATTTCATAGACTGATTTGATGTTGCATGCTAGTGATGTGCGTGCATATGCATTGTTTTGGTGAAGTTAATTCCCATTGTGTGGAATTTGACTTGTATTGTCGTTAACCGATACCCGGGTGATGATGGGTGGTTAGGCTGGATTCGTGTCCGGGTGTTTATGGACGAATCGATGGTTGCTGTATTCGATTGATGATGGATCAGTGTTGGGTGACTTGGTCACGTGTTGGTACCACATGCATTGTGTCTGCATTTGTATTTGCATGGAATTGTAACATGTTAGGATGTCTTCCAGTGTTACAATTCTTTGGTTGATTATTGATTTGTGCATAATGACTTGTATGATTGGAACTGCGTGTTGAATCTGAATTTATGCTAAAATGGGTGAAATAATATGCTTGTGATATAATGTTGATTGAGAAGCTTATAATGCATGTTAATTATGAGAAATCTCACCCTTACTTTAACAATTTCAGATTAAAGTTAGCAGCTCAGGAGTTGGTGAGAATGGCTCTATAGCTATGTTACTTTAAGTCCGCGTGTCAGTGTCGTGCTCTGATAGGTTGTAACACTGGGGGAAACGTTTGAATGATGAGTTTTATTTTATACTCTATTGTTTAATTTATGTTGGGAATACTTATGAAGTGAAGTTATTCCGGTTTTGAGACATTTCCGCTGTGTAGAACATGATATTGATTTGAATATTTATCTTAATAATTCCTTCAGTAGAGCATGATAACTGTAGATTTGAGGTTTTTATATTTATCTTAGATTGTGACATCCCTGTTTTCCATGTTATTCTGATTTAATTAATATATTCGTGGGTTATTTAGAAGGGGTGTTACAATAGTGGTATCAGAGCATAGTCGGTCTTGTCTTGTGTCGTTATCCCTTTTGTATGCGACTAGTGTAAGATGACACTGTCGATACTTGTGTGCTGATGAGGTTGTTTTGTAATGTTACAAGAACAATGGCCGGAAGAGGTAACGGAAGAAACAACGATGCTATTGCTGAAGCATTGGGAATGTTGGTTGGAGTACTCGGAGGGAACCAGCAGGGAGTTGTGATTGGTGTTGACCGACAATTGGAGAATTTTCAGTGGAATAATCCTCCGTTTTCCAAGGGTGCACATGATCCCGAAGGTGCTCAGAAGTGGTTGAAGGAGATCGAGAGGATCTTCAGAGTAATTGATTGTGCTGAAGGGCTGAAGGTGAGATACGGAACTCACATTTTAGCAGAGGAAGCTGATGACTGGTGGGTTGCTACCAGAACTGAGATGGTATTGCGTTGACTTGGGCTGTGTTCAGGAGGGCTTTTCTGAGGAGGTACTTTCCTGAGGACATCAGAGGCAATAAGGAGATTGAGTTTCTGGAACTCAAGCAGGGTAACAAGACTGTCAGTGAGTATGCTTCGAAGTTTACTGAGTTAGCGAAGTATTATGCTCATTATACTAACGATGCAAATGGAGAATTTTCCAAATGTATCAAGTTTGAGAATGGTCTTCGTGATGAGATTAAGCAGGGTATTCGGTATCAGTGTATCCGAAGATTTCCTGATCTGGTTGACTGTAGTAGGATTTTAGAGGAGGATCTTGCTAGCACTAAGTCGAATGCTCGAGGGTATGTTGATAGGAAGGGTAAGCAACAGATGGATCGTGGTAAGCCTTATGATAGAAGTAATCAGAGACCCGGTGGTTGGAAGAAGTTTGGTGGAGGAGATTCTAGTTCTTCCATTAAGTGCTACAAGTGTGGTGAGACAGGACATCGTATGGTGGATTGCAAAAGTAATGATAAGAAGTGTTTCAAGTGTGGGAAACTCGGCCATGTGGCCAATAATTGCAGAGTAAGAGTGGTGACTTGTTACAACTGTGGTGAAGAAGGTCATACTCGTCCTCAGTGTACAAATCCCAAGAAGGAGCAAGTTGGTGGTAAAGTGTTTGCATTGTCTGGGTCAGAGACTAAGCTAGATGATCAGCTGATTAAAGGTACATGTTTTATTAATGACATACCTTTGATTGCGATTATTGATACTGGAGCTACGCATTCTTTTATTGCTTTGGATTGTGCTAAAAGATTGAATTTGGAAATTTCTAATATGGATGGAAGTATGGTTATTGATACTCCTGTGTCGGGTTCAGTGACTACTTCGTATGTTTGTAGGAATTGCCCTATTGTGATTTTTGGTAGGGGTTTCGGTATGGATTTGGTGTGCCTACCGTTAGAACAACTTGATATCATCCTTGGAATGAACTGGTTGGAATTCAACCAGGTTCATATCAACTGTTTTGCGAAGACGGTTATTTTTCCTGAAGAGGTTGGTGTCGAAGATGTGACTATGTCGATTAAACAGATGAACCTAGCTGTGAAAGATGGTGTTGTGGTATTTATGTTGTATTCTGCAATAGAAGCGGAGGGAAAAGCAAAGAGTGATGGATTTCCAGTGGTGAATGAATTTCCAGAGGTGTTTCCGGAAGACGTTAGTGAATTGCCACCTGAGAGGGAGGTAGAATTTACTATAGATTTAATTCCTGGAACTAGTCCGGTGTCGATGGCGCCTTACCGTATGTCGGCATCTGAATTAGCAGAGTTAAAGAAACAGTTGGAGGAGTTACTTGAGAAGAAGTTTATTCGTCCGAGTGTTTCTCCGTGG